GTTTTTTCGTTATAATTTGATAAAAAACGACAACGGGGCTCATTTTTTTTATTTTTAGTTCATGCCCTATAATTACATAATCATTATGTAATTATTTTACCTTTTTAACAACATTTTTTCTCGACTATTTTCATTCCCTTATTTTTTACCTTAACAATTTTTGTGGGGTAAACTCGTATATTTCCCCTTCGTAACCCCACCCTTCTTTCTCGTGGCTGATAACTATAATTGTCTTATTTTTTAATTCGGAAAAAACTACTTTTTGGATATGCTTTTTAAGGTTGGGATTAACATTACTTAAAAATTCGTCAAAAAGGTAAATTTCGTAATCTCTAATCAAGGCTCGCATTAAACTAACTAATTGTTTTTGTCCGGCCGAAAGATTCTGTCCTTTTTCGGCAATAATGGTTTCTCAACGATAAGGTAAGTGGTCAATAAATTCCCTAATCCCTAATTTTTGGGCCGTTACTTCTAATGCTTCTCGATGAAGGTTTTCCTGATAAGTCTCGGGGTAAACTATATTATTGCCCAAACTAGTATTAAAAAAATAAGGATGATTAGCCAAATAGACTACTTTCTTCCGTCAAGTCGAGTTATCATTTTTTTCTAATTCCGTGTCATCTAATTTAATAGTTCCTTGCTGGGGCGTGTAAAGTTTGACAATTAACCTAAATAAAGTACTTTTTCCTATTCCGTTTGGTCCAGTAATTAAGTATTTCCTTCCCTTTTGAAAATTGAAAGAAAAATTATCTAGGATTTTTTTCTTGGTTCGGGGGTAAGTAAAATGAACTTGCTGAAAAATAATATTATTTCCGTTGGCTGGCAAGTAGTCGATAGAAGGAACGGAAGTCTGGTATTTCTCTAAACTAGCCAAAGTCTCATTTAGTCTTTTCCGGCTGGAACTAAAACTCTCGTAGCCCCCATAAGCTCAAAACATTTCGAAAATGGTTTTACAGTCCCCAAAAATGCTGGCTAATTTAGCGTATAAAACGGCTCCGCTTGCTTGTCCGCCAATGGAACCAATGACTAAAAAAAGAAAAGGGATAAAACGAACTAAAATATAACTAGGAATAGTAGCATAAACACTTTTAGTAAGCACAAATTTATAGTTTTTCCGTAAGTTATTAGCAAATTGTCGTTGACTTCATTGGTTTTCTTGGTCTTCGGCTCCGACAGTTTTAATATATTCTAAATTGTCTCTTAATTCTTTAAATCGCTTATTTTCCCGGTCAACTTTTCTATCCCTTTTTAGTTTATAGCGGTAAGAAATACAATACAAGGCCGGAACCAGAACAGCCAAAATCACCAAGGCCACCAAACATCAAGGAATTACCCATTTTTCCTGTGCTTTCTTGCTAAATCCCCAGAGTAGTAAAATAATGGAACAAACTGAATAAAAACTGCGGTTGAAAATTCGCACAGCCAACGTTCCAATCGTGGTCGTATCACCATCAAAACGCGATAGAATAAATCCTTCTTTTTGGGCTTGATTGAAGTCGGCGGACAAAAATATTCTAGTTAATTTTTTTCGTAAATGAGAAGTATAAAGTTCTTCGAGCCAAATACCAATCGCAACGTGCAAATAAACAGTTACTCCGTAAACGAGTAAACGAAGCAAAAAACTACTCGCATTATTTTTTAGAGTTTTTACTCCTCCTTTTTTTAAAGCGTCTCCTAAATAACCAAATATTAACTGGGTCGAACCATAAGCACTGAATAAAGCAAAGCCATAATGAATTGAAGAAAGTAAAGGGAATTTTTTCAGGAGATAAAATAAACTGACTTGGGTTTTCTTTGCTGTATTTGTCTGGACACTCATCATTTTTTTCCTTATTTGTTTTTTTTTTTTT